TTTGTCTGCATACTGTTGTTTGTATTGTTGTTATTGTTCTGTCACTTTTTCAACGATAAAAGCTCTTTTATTAGCAATGAAAGGTACGTGAACTTTGTTGCTTCAAGAAATAACAGAAACCTAAACTTGCAATAACAACAAAAATCAAAGTAAAAACAAAAACTAAAACTAAACAACAAAACAGCAACATAACCAACTAACAACTAAAACAACAACACATCTTAGTTGCAACAAGATCTTTTTGTTGTGTTCATACTCTATTTACCCAGCTTAGCCCTCAAGTTGATGGACACTTCCCAACTCATTTAAATGCTTGTCATGTTTTTATGTGTAAAGCTTTGTATAGCTCTGCTATACCTGCTGTTGTGCTCTGCTCTGCTGTGTTGTTTTGTGTTGTGTTGTGTTAATCTTAAAGTTATAACAGCACATCGCACCTCAGTTCATTTCACCTCAACTTAAGTCATTGTGCAAGTCAAATAAGCACACAAAAATCTACACACACACACACACACAGAGCATTATAAAGAAAACATTGAAACCAAAGTCACGGAAAAGCGCAAATGAATGAGATGAACACACATTAATTATTTATTTATCGCAATTCTATGCTTTGTGCAGCGTAATTTGCAAATGTGTGTGCTCTTCTGTTGTGTGCTTTATTGTGCGTTGTGTATTGTTGTTGCTGTTGCTGTTGATGTTGTTGGTTGGTTGGTTGCTTTGTGCGGGTGTCTGTTTGTATGCTTAAGTGTCGAAGTGTCGGTGAACCTGATATGAACACTAAAGCAAAAAAGTTTGTAATGATTGATGAATGGGGCAATTGTTTTTTTATCGACTAACGTGAGGGAATTGTATAGGGACAATATTAAAAACTAATAAAATGTTAATTAATGTTAAATGAAGAACAAAGAAATTAAATTAAATAAATTGTATTATAATAAATTACTCTTTTTGAAATATAATAATTATATTAATTATTCAAATAGTATAAGTAACTAATGTTACTCTAGGTATTGGTATTCCACTTGCAATGGCCAAGCTAATACGAGGCTGAGCAGATGAACCGCGCCGTTCAGATCTCAAGATCGACCTAGTCAAAACTAGATAGGAAACATACCAGATAGCTACGGCGTAAACTACTTAGCACTACGATATCGGTTCTAGCGGGTTAGTGCGTGTAAAGAACCTTATACCTTATAATGGTTATTCCATTATTTCTAACTTATAATGATTTTTGTGGTACTTGTGACTATGCAAATGAGGAAGAAACTGTACTCTATCATATGTGCCAGTTTCCATTATTGGCTAGGAGAAGATTTAAAATTTTTACTGCCCATCGACTTTTCACCGACTTAACAACACTTATCTAACAAAATTCGTGGTTTGGCTAAGTTTATGGACTTGTCAGGTTGGTTCATTGTCGCTTGAGTGGGTAAGTCGTGCCTTTTGGTTTTATTCGTACGCTGACCTCTTGCCTGCACTAAGTCGTCATATCACAATGAGTCCTTATTTGAGCTCAATTGGGCTTTTGATATAAGACAGCCACGACATCGCAATCTAATGTAACTGGTCTAGTAATTTGAAACTAATTCTTATGTGAAATATATTAATTTAAATGTTCTTTTCCTCCAAATACTAATGACTGCTTTTAATTTAAGTTAACTCTGTATAACAATATAACCAATTTCGAACTCCTGCAAAAACTATTATAAAGTTAATTTAAACTAAACTACTTTTGTTTACTGAGTTGGCAAATGAGTGTGAGTGCTTTAAGAGTTTTTGTGGTACTTGCACTTTTCGTCTGACAACTTTTTGCTGCACAACTTCACATAACTAACCCAATAATTTTTTGGCAGATGGTATTTGTTGCATAATCTGACCAAACTTTTCCAAAAATATTATTTTGTCTAAAAAAAAAATTCGATACTTTGAGGTAATAACAACAAACTGTTATATAAAATATACCAAATTTAGTCATGAGAAAATAGGTTTTTGACAGTATTTCAAAAATTTGGTTTTAAATAATCTATTAAGGCTCATTAAAAATATTTTTTGGGTTACTTATTTTATTTATAAAATAACTAAAATTTGATACTGCTGCATTTCCTGTCAATATTACACTTTTCGTACAAAATATGTCATCCAATTGGTGGACATTAAATAGATATCAAATGATATATTTTATTTGCAGCAACAGCTGTTCTTAATATTAAAAAACAACCACAATATCGCATAATAAATTTTAAACTATTTCCAGATACGAGTGTAAAAATTATTATGTCCTGAAAACTTTTATGTCAAAAAGTTATTTATATTTAGTCAATTTACATCCATAAATCGAACTAATAAAACTATTCTGTAAAAAAATATTTTGCAATTGCAATAAAAATTACTACCTTTTTTATCTCAAGTCATTTGTTTTAACAGATAACGAGATTTAAATAGTTAGCCTTAAATAACTTTGTGGGTAGCAATATCCTCTCTAGCTTAGTTTTATTGAGCATAAAAATTTAAATTGTTTCCAATAAATACATCTCAATGATATTATGAAGAGAAATTGAAACCATAATCTCATTTTTCACTTTTACTTTACTTTGAATATAATGAAATATTTGAAATGTCACTCATACGTCCCGAGCACATATGTGCAGATTAGACTATATATAAATCAACATAAATATTTCCAACAAGAATTTAATTCTTTTTAAATTATTCATTAACATATATATCTTCTTTTTATCTTATTTTTATTAAAAGAATACAATTTTTACTTCTTTAATACTGCTTATAGTATTTCTTAAATCGTTTAGAATACACTTTTTTTAACGAAATGCAGCCTAAATGAGTCTAAAACTAAAACAATTTGAAATGTCAGACGATGGTTAGCCTTTTCAGCATCTCCCGTTGTTAGTAATACATCAAAACGTCGGCTATAGCACTAAATTCAACCATTGATTTATGTTTACCGCTTTAGTTTTTGGTTAATAGGCCATCCACAGCACTAAGCTCAATCTTCTATTCGTCATTAGGTACAAAAACTGCATATTTACAAAAATAGTCTCAATATCCAAGGATCCTTTAAGATAACATATTAAGTATTTTATCAGTAGCATGTTCAGACTGCTAAACTTAACTACATAAATTCCATATCTAGGGATCACTGACTTAGTATTTTGTAACCAACTAGAACGGTAAGCTTAACCATCTGTTTTTAACACTATTTATTCTACAGACTGCAAAATTAAAAAAATTATCCCGATATGCAACAGTGAGACCTCTTGAGAAACCCAATTTAGTGTTTGGTTAATTGGTCACCAAGAGCACCAAGCATAACCATCTCATTTTTCTCATTATTTCCTTTACAAAAAAATAACAATACCTTAAAAAAATATCATTCCGATATCTTCTTAGGATCACGATTCAAAATTTAATAAATAGATCATGACAGCCGCTAGGCTCAATCTTCGTTTATCTGTCGCGAATTGCTCTACTGACTTTATATTAATAAGAATAATACTGACATTAGTAGACATTACATTAAGCATAATATTTTAAGTCTTTTGTTGTCATTTAATACATTGACTGTAAGTTTCATCTGCTATATTCAATGAACTTATTATTTGGAAATGTGACTTCTATATATATAAGAAATATCGAAATGGATGTAAATGCTTTCAATTTTCCAGAACAAGAAGACGTTATAAGGTATCAAATCAAGATGGAAAGACGGATACCCTATTAACTGAATTTTCTTTCAATTATCATAAAATGTTTTCCATTCCACCTGAGACACCTCAAAAAAATAATTTTTAATTATATTAGAAGATGCTTCCACTGCTGAACATTATTTTCCAGAGAGTTGATTTTAATCTACCAAAACAAGAAGAGATTCTTCCACTGGCGAATATATTTTTCCAAAGAGTTGATTTTAATCTACCAAAACAAGAAGACGTCATAAGGCATCAAATCAATATTGGAAGGCGGATAACCTGTTAACATAAAATTCTTTTCACTCCACCTGAGATACCGTCAAAGTATAATGTTCGATTGTATTATACGTTTCTTCTATAAATGAGAATTATTATTCAAGAAATTAATTTTAACGTACCGATATAAGAAGATATCATAAGATACCAAATCAGTACCGAACGACGGATGATTGACTCAATGTTTTGAGTACTGAAAATGTTATTTGGTTACGATGATGTATTAGAACTCCCATTGTCGTGGAATTCTGCCTCTGTTTTTTTATTAACAATTTTTGTATTGTGTAAAATATGTGTTGTACCCTCTTAGTCTCGTACTTTCTTAATTATAAGATGTTTTCAGAAAACAATAAGCAAAAAGTGTATAAGAATGAAGATTGTTTTGGTTTCGCACCACGTACGCATAGCAACAATTGGGCTTCATGCCGCATTTGGTAACGACGTGTCTTCGCCAGGATTTCCAAGGTTTAATGTTAATTTGTTTTTAAAATTTAATTATCCTGCTGCATGCGCTTGAATATACTTCAACGTGCATAAAAGATTCTGAACTTCTTTTGTGTTTTTGTCTTCTTGTGTCTTCAAATTCAATAAAATTTTGTGTGAATGTGAAAATTGACTGCTGCAACGTTCAAATTTTTAATTTGGATTGTGAAAGAGAATTTCCGCATACACCACCACCACCACCACTACCACTTCAGAGCACTTAAAAGATTATCTCATTATAATTAGGCTAATATCAAAAACCAAAAACAAATTAAAATTAAAAAATAAAATTTTAATTACTAAAGTTTTTGGCATTTGTGAAAAAAATAAAAAATAAAGTAAATTATAAAAGACATTATAAAAAAAATACTTTCGATCTCATTCCGGCCCCCAAAAGTCATTCGAAAAATCTGCACCTAATTTCTGCTTAAATCACGTTGAACTTTAAATTATTAAAATTTATAGATAATCTTGAATACATAAATATAAATTTATATACTCACACTTATGGACTGCCTTTTTATTATGCTACAGCTCTCCACTAATGTCGGCCATTTGTGTTAAATTGATGACTTATCCATGGATGTGGCTATTCATGAAAAATCCTACCGAGGGTGCACAATGTGCCATACGCTTGGCTACGGACCCACAACTGAAGCATGTAACTGGCGAATATTTTAAGTAAGAACAACTGCTTTCTTCTTTCCTTTTCTTTTTTTTCTTTTTTTTTCTCTATTCATTTCTCTACTTTCTTTCAATTTATTTTTTATGAGAACAATATTTTTAATGTACTTTGACTTTATTTTTGCTTTTGTTTTTATTTCATTTTTCACTTTTTGTTATTTTGTTTCTGTTAAAGTGATTGTGAAATAGCAGCATCCTCCGAACCAGGCAAGGACATGGAATTGGCGAAAAAATTATATATGCAGACCATGCAAGTTCTCGAGAAAATAACCAAACTGCAAGTTTCAAAGGAGCTGGATGCAGTGGAAGCTGACGCAGAACTATTATAGAAGTCGTGCGATTCTGTAAACCGAAAGCCAAATGCGGGCTAAGTGAATTGAGTTAATATATTTTTCATAAATCCTTCATGCATTTTTTATATCATATTTATTAGGTTTAAGTCAAAATTTACTAAAGTAAATAAAAATTTGAATATGACATAAATTTTAAGTTACTCAGACAGTTGCGCAAAGAACACAAACTATAAAGTTTAAAAATTTATGATTTTATTACTAATAAAAACGGTTTTCAATAGATTTCAAAATGATTTTTTACAGATGTGTGTATGTTCTCGGTTAGTTGACAAAGGTGGAGTAGTGGAGTCTATGATAACTAGAGTGATATGAAGTATAACGTCACATAAACTCTACACCCCATTTTGTGTTGTGTGTTTTTAGGGGCAAAGGATTTGATGACTTTTGTGAAAAATAAGGTATATGAAGAGAAACGGTAGAAAGTGAACTGCCTAAAGTACGATACACAAGAAACCATATCTATAGAGAATCATCAAATAGAGTCAGATTTAGAAGAATTATTGAGATCCTATGCTCCATTGCGAGAATTGGACTATAGTAGAATATTATGTGCTGATATAGCCTAGTTTTTTTGGCATATCGGACATTAATGTTGAAAATTTTTATGTGAAAAATATCAGCATGCACTCTCGAGTGCCTTATCCGTTTCAATAGTCAACGTAGCAATTACATATTTTAGTTCACGTGTTAGTTTTTTGTTAGTTTAATCAATGTTAAAATGCTAACAAGTTTCAACCTCAATATCTCAAAAAGTAAACTATATAGCGTAGTGGAAATGTTGCTGAAAATAGCTGAATTCATTTAATTTTTTTTTATCAAAACGGTGTGTCTGCAAAGAAACTCCTTCGGATATCTTGAAATGAGTATTTACAATCAATAAAGGAGCTCATCCTATTATTGTTGTCCAAAATTTTACTAAAAGACATTAAAAATCTTATTTTAAAAACATTTTCTATGACTTATTATTCTTACTGGAACTAATTAAATTTCTTGTTTATTTTACGAGAATTCTTTTAAAACAAGTTTATTTTTTGTTTTATTTTTTGTAAAACTTTTTCTACCAAATTCCTTTTAAATAATTACTCATCTCTATTACTTTTCATATTTTTCCCTTGTTTGCAAGCACTCAATCGAATTAATTTCAATCATGTTCATTCCAATGTTGCTCCTGCCAATGCTTAGCTGTTGGAGGCCGTTGCCAATTGATTGAATTGCTTCATTAAGGAGTCTTAAATCTATCAACAAAATAACTGTAGCATACTTTTAGGCGAAACAAATACAACAACTGCAGGCGAAAATCTCATCTTAATTTGCATATTTAAAGTTGTTTTCGTAATTTATATTCGCCTTTGACACCTAACAACATTTTTCGCTTGTTTATAACAACAAAAAAAATAAAAAATAAAAAAAAAATAAAAAATTAAAAACAATATAAAATAGAATAAAAAATACATTCAATTGATTTAATTAACTGTCACAGTTCATTTGAAGACAAGCTCCTCTTAAATTAATCTCTTTTAAAGAAGTATTTATTTCAATTTATTTTTACGAATTTCGTGCAATTTTTTCATGTTTGAAGTGAAGCTGAAATTTCGTTCCATTAATTCTCATCTTTTAAGCATAACAATCATTGAAATGAAATGCTGGAATCCGATACAGCAAATACAGCAAATGCGGCAAATACGGCAAATACGGAAAATATAGCAAATAAAAGTATTTTTTACTCCTGGCAAAAACAGAAAGCGAAAACCGTTAATAACGTTGCTATTTGAAAAGTGCGTCAACGGGGCATGGCAATCGCAACGGCGGGAGTGGAACAATCGAGCATTTTTTCCCTTTTTGTGGTTTTCATATTGGAATTTGTTATGCTGTCGGGTTCATTTACAATAATAAATTGCAAATTGAAAATAGCAACATGCCAGTATCCATTATGGCATTATGGATGCTGGCATCAGGAAACGAAAAAAGTGAAAACATACCCGGAATAGAAACATTTAATAAACATTAATTGGCAATGGTGGGTAGTGATTTTTTCCATAAATTTAATAATACGAGTAATATTTACAAAAAATAAAAGGACACATTGAAGTTGAATCCTTTGATTCAACATTGAGTTCCACAGAATTCGTAAATAAAATAAATGTTAAACCCTTAAAACCACAAAAATTGTAAAATAATAACATAAACAATATATAATAGAGCTTATAAAATAGCAGCTAATTAAATTAATTAAAAATTGGAAAAAGGTTTTTAATGAAGTTGTAAAATTTGACAAAAATACAGTCCTCAAATAATTAATCATTATTATTTTGGGTTAAAAATATGTAAGTATTAAAAAAAACAAAAAAAATTATTAAATTAATGAATTTCACTTTGAAAACACAAAAATAATATTTGCATGTTAGATGTTAATATTATTATCATCAATTTGGACCACATCGTTAGTAAGGTGAGTATGTGCTGGACTTATAGTACACAGGATCTGGATTCATAGCACATATATTTCCGGACTAAATACACTTAAAATTGTTAGAAAATTAGAAAATATTTGCTTTATTTCTTCTCAAGAATAGAACCTTAGATTCGCAGAAAAACGCAAAAGCTTTTATGACATCAATACGAAGATCTACCCCTTCCTAAATAAAAATAGTAGTATATATTTAATATCTCTTATTAAATCAATCACTAAAAAATATGACATCCTATACCTCTCAAAGATTGTCACCTTATCATGGTAAAGTGGCTCAATATGGCAGGTGAAGAGTGAACACAAAGCTAAGTATAGTTCACATCGAAAACCCCTGTTGCCTTTTTAGAAATCATGAAACTAAAAGCTTAACCACTGTATTCCATCTTAGGAGAGAACTTTATTAGTAATTTTCACTGATAGATTTATATTATACAATATTATAAGCATGGATCAAAGCCAAAATGTAGAGAATTCTCTACGGATTGTATTTTTAGCATCTATTGCTAGAAATTCACATACCTATATCAATGCAATTAGTAAATACATTTTTAACTCAATAACTAATCCCGCTTTGATGAATGCAGCATCTATGTGGGTGTTAATAATATACGTCAGACCTCATCAAGAAGATGGTAGTACCTTCAAAGCTTTTTTTTGTGTTGTAGTCGTGAAACGTACCAATCAGCTGCTTTTACCAAATCGGAGCATGCTTAGCACTACGGTACCACTCCTGAAAGATAATTGTGCACTAGGAAGACATGTTTTGAAATTGGGTTTACGTTATAATAATATTTGTTGTGGTTGTGGTTCTGAAGAGAAGGAGGAATTCATGTTTTAACTTCTTTGTCAGTACCCATCTTATCATCGAACTGACAAATCACTCATTCTTCTAAATTAGGGGCTCGGCCAAGCTCATAAACTTATTAGATTGGTTCACTTTTGCATGTATGGATGAGGGATTAGTCTTTCAACATAGTCTGTACGCTGACCGTTATCATCCACTGAAGAGTTCTTTTGGTCTATGTATGAACAACGTTAATCTGTGGTTAACAGTACATTAGTTAAGCTCCAGTGGGTTTTCGTGTACAGGGGCGTCACTTAATGTGTACATGTGAATGTACAACAATATGTTAAGTGTTCGGATTTCTAAGTCCGCCACTAACAAAAATATTGTGAATATTTTATTGAATCACTCGAAAACTTGGATTTATGTTAAAAAATTGGGATTTGTTTTAAGCAGAATTATATTGGCATTTGTTCAGGAAAGTATTTTGTGACTTTTCATGAACTAAGCATCGTCCATATATTATGTTTAATTATTTTTCTTAACTCTAAAGAAAGAAACGTTAATATGTATATATTGTGGGATGTTGTGCCAGCGCACCATCCATCAAGTGGTCCCACTGAAGTAAGGAATTAGCCGAAGTATACCATGAAATGTCTTAGGTCCTTTTTCGTCCTTCGATATCGTTATTGAGTTAAAGCTAAAGAGGCTTCCGTTTGCATAACTACATCTCTTGTTATTGCAAGCAGCTCATTTAGCTTGGGGTTGGCTGTCAAGACACCATCAACCTAATAATGTACCAAGACAATTTTCCTCCTGCTTCTCCTCTTCCGCTGCCTTCTTTTCTTCTAGACAGCGTGTGCAAGTAGCTTCTTTAACAAGAGGTATCTTTTTGAGGTGATACTTGAAGATTCCATGTACAGTAATTAATGAACGATAAACTCATATGCATTTATTATCTTTCATTCGTGGTTTTATTACATTGAGAGGGTTTTAGTGGAAGAAACTTTGGCTTTTGATCTTTGCTGTAGTTTTGATTATTTTAAAATGTTTATTTAAGAAGAAAAATCGTATCTTTTGATAAATACTATTAATAATAATTGTATATTCTATAATCTGGGTTACTTCTGCACACCTCCTGAGGTCAATTATTATAGTCTGATGAAGTGATAAACAATAATCCAGTTAAGGCGCAAAGAGGGGTTGTGTTTTCAAAAGAAAGAGTAAAAGTGCTCAAGTGCACTGGCTGAAATAGCTTTAATATATATAACAGATTTGTTTTGGTACTGATGTAAAAATTTTATTGATTATGAAAATGTGATAATTGTTTTCTAAAATTCTCAACAATCGAGTTTACTTTATTTCCGAAATGAAAATATATAAATTAATGAAAATATAAAAGAGAAATAATTACAAATGAAATGAAATTGAAATGAAAATCTTTTAATTTAAAAGAAATTTTATTTTTAAGCATTTTTTATTGTTTTATTATTATTTTCATAATTTGGAGCAGCAGCTCATTTCTTCCATTTCCATTTGATGGCCATTTAAGTTGAAAGCGAATATTTTTTATGAGCTAATTAAAATTCTACCTTCTTTGTGAAGCAGTAAACGTTATACGAAATGGGTTCTGTATGAGTTTCGAATGAGTTCTCTAGGAATTTCGTAATGGCACCCAGACATGCTAACATTTTTTGCACAACTCCATTATGAAAACATTTTAAAGAATTACGATATTTTATGTCATTTGGAAAATAAAAAAAATTAAATAAAATTTACGAGAATTTTTTTCGATATGAATTTTTTATTGAATGTCAACGCAAAAAGCGAAAAATTGTTCCAAAACTTTTTTCATAAAATCATAATGAATTTTTTCCAATCCTCAAAAGTATTGTTACGCTTTAATAAACGGAAAGTGCATTTCACACTAGCAA